GCGGGGCGCGGCACCGGGTGGCCCAGCTCTGACCCCTTACCAGAGCCCCTCAGCGCCCTCCTCCACCACCTCCACCACGTCCCCGCTCCTCATGGCGAGGGTGTCTGGGCCCCCCTTCTCATCGTCCAGCACCACTGTGTACTTCCCAGGGACCTGCGGGAGACGGACACAGGCAGAGTGCCAGTGGGTCAGCACCTGCTGGTCAGTGCCAGCAAGAGGACACGAACTTGTGCTGCACTTGGCACCTGGGCAGCACCACTCAGGGCAGGGAGTGTGCGTCCAGAGCGGGCTTCAAGAGACCCCGCCATGGGAGCAAGGCCCCTCCTGCAGCTCACATGTTTTAGGAAGATGCTGCTAGGCCCCATGTTATCACCATGTTAGAAACCCGAGCGTGGGTGCCAGGTGTCCTCAGGCTCCCTGGCCTCGCGGCTGGGCACACTGGGCTCGGTGCTGGTCTCAGCAACCCCCCTTCTGGAATGCCTGCCCTCTGGCGGGCTCGTTCTAGGTGGCCCTCTCAGGCTGTTCTCTTTGGAGGACATCCTTACCTAAAGTGTTACAAGGCTGAATGCTGTTTTGTGCTTCCTGTGAGAGGAGATTCTCATCTGTTGTGTCCCCTGCTTTATCAGGTGTTGGGAACGCTGGTACCCAGTGGACACTAAACCAATGTCTATGGGGTCAGTTCTGCTGTGGAATGTGGGCTGAGGAGCAGATGCTGTTCTTGAGCAGCCCGGGCACTCCTGACCTCACAGAAGCACGTGAGCTGCAGGAGGCGCTCTGGCAGCAGGGCCTGGGCAGGATTGGTAAGGGCCCATCCTCCTCACACAGCTACCTGCCCCAGGTGGACAACCCCACCTTGGCTCCCTACTGGGCCCAGAGCAGCCAGGATCCTGCCCACCCCACACTGAGAACAAGATCCAACCCCTCCCCAGGCCCCACTCTCCCCTGTTCACCAGCCCCAGCCCCTCCTGCCACGCTGCCCTCCCTGTGTCCTCCTGTCTGCCCTTCTCACTCTTGACCAGTGTTAATGCACCCTCTTGGGAGAGACCCAAATAGGTATTTGTGGGGGTCATCCCGACTCTAATATGTAATTTAATATGTAAATGACTTTTCTTGCTGTACTATTAAAAACAGGACATGGTTTATAATGCGAGCCCATACCTAGGGATTATGCAAATCCACAATCAAGATAATTCAATTTCTTAAAAAGTGAGATGGAGGCTCCAGTATACAGTGTTAGCTTAATTAGTACATTCTGTCCATGTGGAGGGTGAGTGACAGGACACACTGTGCAGGGGCTGTAAGTTGTAGGTACACAGTGTGCTGGGACCTTGGGCATGGACACTGACCCAGGCCAACACAGAGCACTTGCAAGACCCAGGCTGAGGTAGGTCTTCTAGAACACTCCTTCTCCAGGGGACAGCACCCACCACCATCACCCAGGCAGGACAAGGTTACCAGCTTCTTGGGGCCCACTCCACCATCCTCCTCTGCGTCGGATGAGTTGATGGGCTCCTCAGCACTTGACCAGCCGCCCTCGTCCTCAGGGACCTCCAGTGAGTGGGACGTTTTGCTCCAGCCTAAGGGAGGAAGAGGCTCCAGTGAGGGCCACGTCCGTGAGAAGCTGCCATCCATCCAGCTGTTCCCCACGAGTCCCACAGATTCCCTGAAATGTGCAGCCCTGGGTCCAAGCTGAGCCAATCACAGGACCCGCCTGCCCAGGGTCCCGGCTCCACCCATTGTCAAAATGCTGGGACTGTGTTCCAAGTCACAGGAAGACTGACAGGGTGTGATGGCATCTGCTCCCAGCTGCCAGTTCATGGGGAGAGAAAGCCCAGACCCTGCACGGAGACCTGTGCCTGTGTCAGGCTGCAGCCCCACAAGCCCACACCCTACAGCAAACACTGGAGGAGAAGGCATTTCAGTTAACACTGTGACAACCAACACCTCCCAGACCAGCCAGGAAGGCAGTCTCTAGCCCAAAACGACCCCATGGATCTCTGGTCTGTAAGCTGAGGGGCTGTGTACTCGCAGGGCAGGGAGCACCCAGGTGGGGATGCTGAGCAACCAGGACAGGCTGTACAGTGGTTGCAATGAAGCCAGGCTCTACCTTGGCCTCTAGTCCAGCCCACCAACCCTGGCCAGCCAGGCGGGACCTAGACTATATCTATTGCTTTGTTAGTGTTCCTCCTGCCTAGTGTCCCCCCGGGGTGGAGTGGTGTTCCCATCATGGGGGAGATGGAGACCAGGAATTCCCAACGGTGATAAATAGAGTAAGTGCACTGGGCACCTGCCTTCAGTACCAAGAAGCACAGGGCCGAAGACAGATGCCCAGTGCATGAAATGACACCTTAATGCTTCAACAAGGAGCAAGCGTGTCAGAGACAGGCAGACGGCCCAGTGGGTTTGCACCTGCCACAGCCTGCTCCAGGCTGAAGCTGCCTTTTCCTGTGAGAGAGAGGTGCTGGGGTGTGAAGAGCTCACAGAGGAGCCCCAGGCACGAGTGCATGTGTGCCTTACCCGCCCCACGAAGTCAGGGCTGCAAGAGACAAACCGTCCCTGGAGGCCAGCTCCCTCCCACACCTGAGGACGTTCAAGGCTGGCAATGAAAAGCTTCTGCTGAGAGGGCCTGGAAAGTCACCTTGTCTTTCTAGACAAGGGAGCCGCCCGTCCTCATACCAGGCCAGGTGCAGCCTGAGCCCTTCCCCCGAGCTCCACTCTCCTGGGGCTGGCTGCAGGAGAGGGGGATGGCTGTGCAGTTGGCTCTGCAGGTGCCACTCCAGGCTTGTGCCTGGGCAGGACCTGGGGACTGGGTCTGCAGGGCCGTTGCCTGTCCTCCCTGCTCCGAGCCCCCCTGCAGCTGCAGCCCAGCTTGGAGCTGGAGCACTGGTGCCAGGATCCCGCTCAGACGTCCTCTCCCTTCCCACAGCCCCATCCGGGTGGGGCCTCTGACCAAGCAGGACTAAAGTCTGCGAGGACAGCAGGGACAAGACGAGGACTGCCACGGCACCTTCTGTAGGCACAGAGCCTTCTCTGTGCCCAGCCGGATGTTACGTGGAAACCCCTGCTTTAGCATGCGTGTCTGTGAGGGAGACCTCAGGGCTCAGCCTCTGGCAGTGCCAGAGAGCCCCAACAGTGCCAGGCGTGGGCTTGGCCCGGAGCCTCTGGACAAGCCCTCTGACGGGGCTTCAGTGGGTCCCTCGTTAGAAGGCGTGCGGGAGAAGTGACAGCCTGCTGAGGGGTGGGCACACAGAGCACTGGAGGCGAGTGGCCTTGAAGCCGGTGCCCCTCTCTCAATCTGGGACGCTGGGGGATTCTGTGCACAATGAGGCCCAGGTGACCTGTGACCTGTGGCCTGTGACCATTTTCCACAGAATGGTCCTTTATATTGTCGATGCTGCAAAACGACTTCCAGGCCAATGGCTTTCAGTAAAGCACTGGTCATGGCCCACAGAGCCATAGGGGGGCGTGGGCCCAGCACCACACACAGTGCTCACCTCCACTCACAGGAGGGGGGCGCCTGCAGAGGCAAAACTGCCTGGCTGCAAAGGAGGCGGACGCCGGTTCTGCCCTGCAGTGTCTGCCAGGCCAACTTGGCCAGCCCTCGCGGTGTGCCCTGGGCTGAGAGCACCGAGGGCTCAGAGACTTGGTCACAAGCAGAAAGTACCTAACGGACAAGCAGACCTTCGCAGAGGCTGCCAACGGAGCCCACCTGGGTCTCGGCTGCAGCGGGCTGGGTGTCTGCCTGTGCTTAGGACAGGCGGGCACGCCAACCAGCTCCTGGCTCTGAACCATGCCCAGCGGCAGCAAGAAGGCTGGCGCGGGATGCTTGGGGCTCTGAGCTTGGAGACCGGAATGAGCCTGAGAGCCCAGCAGTACGGGTGGCCTCTGGGGCGGACTGGGATGCTGTTCAGCGTGCCCCTGGGAACCTTCACAACTGTTCGCACAGCTCAGGAGGATCTAAAACGTGCCACTGTCTCCTGCACCTGCATCCTTGGCTGGGCAGAGGAGGCCTCGGGTGTCCCTGGGGGTCACCCTTGGAACATAAATGAGCAGGAAACAAGAAGCCCGGTCCCAACATGGAGTTTGATCCTCCCATCTGCCACACAGCCATCTTCCCTCTGCAAGGGGAGGGTGGACCAGATCTGTCGCCTCATTGCCTCAGAAGGATCAGCAAGCTGGTGAGGCAGGCCGGGTGCTGGTACTGTGGGGCCACAGCTTACCACAGCCACTGGACAGCAACCCAGCCCAACTCCAGCCAGGTGCAGCGGCAGCAAGCTGCTGCCCAGGGTCACTCATGAGGGGCAGGTCTGCTGAGGGGTCAGTGGGAAGCCAGTGTCCCCCAGCATCTGTCACCAGGCATCTAGCTGTAGGCCACCAGGGCCACCTCTGCCTGTGGGGCCTGCTCGTGTCATCCTAGGTGACCTGCGTGGGCCACACACAGCCCTCCCGGCCGGTGTCCAGCAGCTGAGCCATGCTACCTCGCAAACCAAAGGGAGTCGGGTCGCTCTTTACTGCATGCCGCTTAGCCTTTCTGTCAGGGCTGGTAGGAGGAGCTGCAGGAGGAGGCAGAGGCAAAGAGACAGAGAGTGAGGGGTGGCCAGGGACAGAGGGGCCCGTGAGATGGGATGGACACAGCACCGGGGGTTCCCTCCAGATCAAGAGTAGCTCTGTGGGCGTGCGAGGTGGCACGGGGGAGGGGAGGGCAGTGGGGAAGAAGGGGGCCACGTCAGTCTTGGGCCCGCCCCAGGACCTGTCCTTGGCTCTGTATCATCAAAGGTGCATCACTGTCAGGGCTGCTGCGTCTCGCAGCATCTCACACACGGAGAAAGCCCCCCGTTCTCTGCACCAGAATCCGGCCACTGAAGAGGCCCTGGTCAGCCTGGCCTCGAGCACTGGGAGGGAGCCTCCAGGGCTGGTGGCCAGGCCTTTGGCCACCCAGGAGCACTCCAGGCCAATGGAGCTGATGGGATCTCAATCGGGCATCCTGGGCCAGCCCGCCCACCAGCAAGTGCCCGAGAGGGTACCTGACCAGGGTCTCGGCTGTGGTGGGAGAGTGTCTGCAGCCAGAAGGGCAACTGCTGGGCAGCTCAGGGAACAGAGGGGCGGGCAGGGCAGGGAGAGCAGAGTCAGGCCAGAGAGCCAGGAAGCCCAGGTCGGAGCAGGCCCGCAGAGCTGGCCTTGGCATTTTCAAAAGGACACCCTGAAAGACGGCTTCAGGTGTCGGTAGGGACACTCAGGGGTCACAGGAGGGTGCTGTGAAAGAGCTTTGGCTGTGCGTGGGATGAAGGGGCGGGGCCTCCTGAGAAGGTCCCCCCAGATGGCCACCACACCATGCAAGACAGATGCCACCACAGGAACACAGGTGAAGACAGACCTCAGGCAGCAGTGCCTCTTTACCTCTCTGACCTTTGAGGTTAGCAAAGCCCTGCAGGGTGAAGCGCTTTCTGGAAAGTGCGGAACTTTCTGAAGTAGAGCTAGAGACCGCGTCATCTAGGAGGAAGAGAGACGTGCAGAGGGCCTGCAGCCCGGCCAGCGTGGCGGGCACAGAGCCCAGGGGCCGGTCCTCATGCTTCCCCGAGTTGGCTGGAGCGGGGCGCAGAGTGTCAGAATGCGGGGTGTGCAGTGAGTCCCAGGCCCTCTGGAGGGGGAGGGGACCCTGAGTCCCAGCACTGCGCCCAGTGCCCTAGGAAGGGCACGTCCCTGCACATGGCCGGAGGAACACTCTGTGAGAGGCACAGGTCACTCGTGTCATGGCAGACACCCACCTTTGCCTTTCTCGGGGGGCTTCGGCAGCGACGAGCTTACATATCCTTCCAGACTCAGGGGGTCTGTCTTCCTCTCCTCCAGCTTCTTGACGTGTCTCGAGTTCCCTCCTGAGGGGCTGGTGACAGCAGACACACAAAACAGCATGCTGCCCGGTTAGCTTCCAGAACTCTGAGGACGGGAGTCCGGGCACTCTCGGCTCCCAGCCCACCCCCGAGGCGGCCCATCATACTGCCTCAGAGCAGGGAGCAGCCACTGGACAGCCAGTGTTGTCCAGTGGCTGTCCAGCCAGGGAGCAGGTGAGAGCAGGAAGCACCCTCCTCCCCACCAGCGGGAGTCGCTGGGGGGGGGGTCTCTCTAAAGTCTCTGTTTAGGGCTCATTTATTTGGGCTCCATTGATTCCATGAGTGATAAAAGGAGACTTTTGTAAGAAAGAGGAAGAATAAAGTGAACAAGTAAAATAACAAAGGAAAAATGAGGACAGAAGAGAGGACAAAGCAGTGCGCGGCGATGTCCCCACCGTCGTGGGAAACAGACCACAGGGAGCAACAGTCCAGGAGGCCAGGGATGGGATGGCGGGGAGGCGGCAGAGGGCGTCTCTGGGGCTGACCCTTGGGGGGAAGCCACCAGCATGTAATTCCCAGACAATGACACTGGAGGGACCTGGGGCAAACTTGGCCCAAGGACCAGGAGGCCCCGGTGACAGTTGTGAGTGAGCTCCAGGGCCCGGGCCAGCTGTGCCAGGCTCCCAGCCTTGTGTGGGCCTCACCTGGTGCTGGACGGCGCGGGCAGGGGCAGGCTGTGGGAGTGCTCCAGGGTCCTGTGCTGGCTGGCTTCTGCAGGGGAAGGAAGGCCACAGGCTGTGTCAGCGAGCTCTGTGCTCAGGCGCCTGTGGGGAGCTGTGGATGCCTGAGGGGACAGGAAGTGGTGGCCGGCCCTCACCTCGACACGCCTGCAGCTGGCTGGTCAGCACCTTCCGAATCTCATTCACCCATGCGGCTTTAATTTCAGGAGTTGGTGCCTGTTCCCCAAAAGAAATGCAGGAGTAAGTACCGGGGTCCCCAGTGACATGCACTCTTGAGACTTCCAAGGACACTCCTAGGAATCCAGTCAGATCACTGCCATGGGTCAGAGGGACAGATGGGGACCCGTTCGTGGGATGCTTGCCTTGCAGAGGAAAGGGCCTTGCAGCCATGCCCAGTGCCTAGGGCTGGGCAATGGCCGCAGTCACCTGTCAGGAGGCTGGAGCTCTGGTGACCACAGTGGTGTCTCCCAGCAAACCTATGCTTAAGGGTCTCTGGGAAGCAGCCTTGACCCTCTTTAGGTGACAATATCAGTGGTGGGTCTGAAACCCACAGGTAGATGACAAACAGCCAGGTGGGGGGCCCGGGTTGGAGCAGTCACAGGGCTGCTGTGCAGGCTCAAGACAGCAAGAGGCCCTGGGCTCCTGGGCTCCGAGCCGAGTGCTTCCAGATGGGCTGGCTCCTTGGGGTGCCGTGTGGGGTCTGAGCAGGGCCCCTGTTGTCTCAGCTCTGCGGGGCGTTGGTGGCAGGGCTGGAGGGCATCCTGGGCTTCAGTGCTGCCTGGCCATGCACCCTGCACAGGGCCATGTCATCCTCTGTGTTAGAGTCCTGAAGAGCAAGTGGCCAGGCCCCTCCCCACATGTGGCTCAGCCCCTCACAGGGCACTTGGGTCAACTAGGGCCTCAAGCAAAGGGCTCTGTCCCGAGTCTACATGACAGCTCCGGCTCCCCATCCGCTCAGCGAGGACAGTGCCACCACTTCTCCACTGGGGAACCAGGCCCTGAGATGAAGCCCTCTCCTGCGCAGCCCAGGGTACAGGAGCGTGAGCGTCTCGGGAGTCGCTTCCAGCACCCTGGTCTCTCCCGAGTTCACCCTGGATCCTGCTCAGGTCTGACACCCAGGGCAGAAGACACAAGGCCTATTGGGAGGGCTTTCACCGGCCGTCCTCGGGAGGAGGGCTCCCCTGCACCTGGCCTGCGGAACAGGTGAGTGCCCTACCTGGACGATGTAGACCTCCTCTCTCGAGTTATACCAGATCTCAAACTTCTTGGCGTCACCCTTCACATTCTCTGTGATGCCGACGGCAGTCATCTGGTAAGTGCAGAACCAGAGACCGGTGTCAATGTCCACTGGCTTGAAGACATGGGGGGCAAGGCGGCGGGAACCCCACTCTCAACCTAAAGACAACGCCCCTCGGTCCTCAGGTCCTCACCTGGTGCTGGGCACCAGTGCCCTCGGGGTCAGACCGAGGCTCTGTTAAACACCAACCCGGCCACAGGCGTCCCGCCCCGGGACGGCAGGTCTGCACCGCAGTCTCACTCACATTCAAGGACTGCTTGTAGCTGTAGGAGGGGGCCTTCTCGTAGCCCTCCCCGTTCTCCTCCCGCTTCTTGCAGAACAGCACGGCCTTCTCGTGCAGGAACAGGTGCCGCTGCATGGGCTTGAACCTGGCCAGCTCCTTCACCTTGGTGTGGCCCTTCTTGTGGTCTGTCCACACACTGAAGGAGCCCTGCATCAGCAGCTTCCCCAGGTCACTGAGGTTCCCCTGCAACAGGACAGAGCCCAGGGCGTCAGGGGCCGAGGTGGAGGCGGGGCAGCTTCCACACAGGCCGCTGAGTGAAGCAGCCCCCTGCAGAGGCCACTTGCTATAGGGTTCCCAGCACAGGGCACTCTAAGGAGCCAAAACCATGGGGACAATGAAAGATGGGTGACTGCCGGGGACTGGGAGGAGGAGGGACATGAGGCAGACAGAGGGTTCTCGGGCTGTCAGACTGTGACACTGCAACACTGGACATGGAATATTATGCATGATCCCAAACTATGGAATGCTCAGCCCCGGGAGAACACCCTCGACTCTGAGCCTCACGTGACAGTGACACATCAACACTGGCGCTTCAGTCGCAACAGGTGTGCCACTAACGCAAGACGTCAGTCACAGGAGGAGGTGTGGCATCTCTGCTTAAACTGCTTAAACAAGCCACATCTATTAATTTAACAAAAAATGAGATTGAGTCCCAAGTGGACAGAGGGGCAGAGACTTCAGTGGCCTGAGACGGGCCTCTGAGGGGCAAACAGCAGTGTGCCTCTGACGGCCACTTGCCGTCAGTCGCCTGCCCCAAACCACACCACAGGAAACAGGTGGTCACAGCTGCTCACCAGGGACGGCTGTTGTCAGGGCAGAGTGGAGGGAGCAGGCGAGAACCCTGTCCTGCTGGAGACGCCGTGCCTCTCCCCACGTGCAGAGGGGCCCCAGGTGGCCTCCTGCTCCTCTTAGGTCCACCCAGACCTCCTGACCCAGGACCCAGGCTGCCACCAGGTTCTGGGCCACTCCTGTCCCCTCCCAGCTTAGGGAGCTTGGAGCTTGGAATCCTTGCAGGAAGCCCTGTGGATGCCCCGGGCCGGCCCTGGGTCCTCACGTCATAGCCGGTGATGGCGATGAGGTGCATGGAGTCGTTCACGGCCTTGAGGATGCCCAGGATGGAGCTCAGCGCCTCCTGCAGGTCCTCGGCCCCCTCGCAGTTCCTGCTGTACTTCAGCATTTCCTGAGGGCCGTGGGGGACGGAAGGACCTGCTCACCTGGCTCCTCAGGACAGCTGGCTCCCCAGAATGCAGCCCCTGAACTGGCCCCAGCAAGCCTGGCGTGACTTCAGACTGGGACACCGCCAGCCACCATGCTCGCACACTCTTCAGCAAGTGGCTGCCGGCTCCCTCAGCCAGCCGACGGCAGACAGGAGCACAGGCAGGGGCACGCCGGCGGCACCCGTCCCCAGGAGCTCTCTCCTGCCACGAGCCCCAGTGAAGGCACAGAGTGGACGCTGGGCAGACCCGCAGAAGGGCTCTTCAGCTCACCCCCTCCCCACTCCTGGATGGGCTGGGGGCCAGCAGGATAAGCAGGGCATGTCCCCGCTCAGAGGAGACTCATGGGCTTGTCTGCACAGCATCCTGCAGCTGATGAGCAGAAACCCGTGGGAGGGGGGTCTGTCCAGCTGCTGACCTCTGTCCCCGGCCCTGACAATGTCTAGCACACAGTGGGCCACACAAATGGCCGATGAGCAGGGCCACAACAAGGGGGAACCAAGTGGCTCAGAAGGTACCTCTTGGCTTGGAGGAAGGGTTTTGGGGGAAGGGGCCCAGGCCTGGGCCTGGCCAGTGGCCCTAAGGCAGCACTGACGCCTGGCCGCAGGTGGGGGAGGCGGCCAGGGAGGCCCACCTTGAGCAGCAGCTGGTACTTGGTTATTCTCTGCACGGGCTTCAGCAGGTAAGAGTCCAGGCTCAGCTTGTGGTCCAACTTCTTCTGGCACTCCTGGAACCACAGAGGCGGGGTCAGGCCACGCCCACGGTCCCTGGGGCAAACTGCAGAGGAACGGGCACTCGGAAGGGCCCCGAAACGCACCTGGAAGAAGGGACAGTCGGAGCACTGTCTCCACAGGCTCTCGGAGCGGGGCTTGTTCTGACAGTACTTCTCATAGATCTGGAAGTCCTCCATCTGCAGCCGGGGGGACGCACGTGTCAGATGGTCACCTGGAGGTGTCTGCCTGTCTCTGAGCATCGGGGGACCTGGGGCTGGGGGTGTGGATGGTTTGGGGCACAGTGTCTTGGGGTGCAGATGGCTCTGCGGGCAGGGCAGTGCTGTGTTGCCTCTGAGATGGCTCATTTTAGAGAGAAGGTCAGGATGGGCTCCCGACAGTCACCTCCACCTCTCTCGACTCAGCCTTCCTGGCCTGCCTTGGGCTTTCTAGATCTGTCCCTGGGCGAGCCCCTTTATGGACGCCGAGCTGGAAGACCACTGTGGGCTTGGAGGCAGACTGCTGGGCTGGGCCGGCTGCCCTGCACCTCTCCCACTGAGGGAGCCCTGCCCAGGGCCAGCAGACCGTGGGATCCCAGGATTGTGGGGCACTGAGAGCTTGGGGACATGGGGCAGCCTGTACCCACCCAATCTTTGAGCCCAGGTCCCCCGGCCCTCGGTGGCTGTGCCCTCGTGGGTTGGCAGGTCAGTGACGCCTCCCACCAAGCTCCAGCCTCACTGTTCGGTCAGCTCAGTATAGCTGGCTTTTCCCCGGGGAATAAGGGCTACGAACACAGACGCACACAGACACTCTCTGCGCAGAAAGTACTTCCAGGGCTTGACTTAACAGTAGTGGCCAACCCCCAGGAGTGTCATGTCCTGGGTGGGCTTAGTGGAACATGGAGGACCCTCCGCAGAGGCTCTACCCCCACCCTTCTCAGCAGCTCTCAGGAGACGCTGCTGCGGGTTGGGACCACAGGCCTATGGGAGGGTCCCCAGGGAGGGTCCCCACCCCACCTTAGACAGCACCTAGGAACACGCCAATAGCCTGGCTGGGCGGCCACAAGACGGCTCCTCCCTCCTTCCCGCCCACCTCCGGGTGCCAACCTAGGACAGAGCCTCAGCCTCCAGCTCTTTGTGAACCATTTAGTTTTTCTGCTGTCCGTGAGCTGCTGTCCAGGTTGCTAAGCTGTCTCTCCCAGTGCCCAACACGAGGGGACCCTCGGGTTGGGAGGCACCTGGCCCATCCTGACCCAAAGCTTTCCACAAATGCCTCCCTTGGAACTGTCCCCACAGCCCTGGGAAGGAAGCAGACGCCAACGATGTTAAAGAGGGTCAATAAAGCTGGGAACTCCAGAGCCTTGTCCAGTGCTGTCCAGCAAGTGGGGCCCGCAACCCGGGCAGGCACCACCCCAGCACAGGCGTGGCAGGAAGGCTCAGCTCCACGACGCACACTGGACCTGGGCCCTGGAGCAGTCCCGTGCCCAGCGTCATGTTGGACGGCTTTCTCTGTTTTGAACTATCCCTTTGCCCCTCCAGGGAGGCACCCTGGAAGCTCCTGGGCTCTGTGGCTGCGTAGGGGTGGGTGGGACCCCAGTGGAACCTGAGGCTTCAGTGTCCGGCAGTTGGGAGCCGCGGTGGGTACGCACCCTTTCGAGGAAGCACCTTCCCACCAGCTCTGGGCAGTCCGTGCAGCGTTCCAGCTCCCGCAGGAAGACCCTGGACAGGGAGGCCCAGGGAGGCCTGCTGAGTCTCCGCACCACACCCAGGGCCCAGCCACACCCACCCAGCGGCCCCGTTTCCAGAAGACCTCCAGCTGTACTCTGGATGGCCCAGGACTGTGTGGTGCCAACGCCCACCAGGCCTGGGGACCCCGCAGCCCAGCCTGACCCCGGCTCCTCCTGTGCGCAGCCTCAGACTGTTCACCTCTGGTCAGCGGCGGCACACGCAGAGGTCACAGCTGCTTTGCCATCAGCAGGAAGCAGCAGGAAGTTAGAAGAATCAGGTGGGCAGTTAGGGGCTCTGGAGGCCCCTGCCCACTGGCCATGACCCTGTGGGCTTCCTGCAGACACACCGAGGGGCCCTCTCCTCGGCTCCAGGGTGGGCTTTCCTCTCCAGATTTCTGGCTTGCTTTTGCCCCTGGGGGAGGGGGAGCTGCTGGGGTCCACCCTGGATGCCGGCACTAGAGCTCTGACTGGTGCCCAGGGACAAGGCTGCTAAGGAAGGCCTCACGATCACTGGCAGGTGGCTTGTGGGCGGGAGGCACAGATGACAGAGGAAGGAGCTAGTGGAGGGACAGTATCTTGGTACTGCTCTGACCAGGTCCACCCATGCTGGGCCTTGTTCCAGGACCCAGGGACGTGCTGTCCACCTGTGGGCCTTCTACACATGACAGTTGGCTTGTTCGTCTTCTCTCTCATGAGCTCCCAAAACCCATAGTGAAAGGAGCCGCGCAAGCATCCCAGATGTACCCCCTGTGCACCGCCCAAGCCACAGAGAGGCAGCCGTGCTCCGAGGACAGCAGCACCCTGTGCTCTCGAGGGGACAGCAGGGAAGGGACGTCTGGGGCACCACTCTTCAAGAATGGGCTCAAGGACAAAGTGCATCTTGCTAAGTGGTGTGACCTTTAGGGCCCCAAAGCAGCAAATGCACATCCTTTTGGTGGGGACAAGGAGGAGGACAGAGGGGTCCGGCCCACTCCTGGCTCCCGGCACCACAGTCCTTTGGACGGCTTTGCCACATGGGGCCACCCTGGGCACTTGTCAGCAGGGAAGGCCCAGGATGGCTCTCAGGATGCCCCGAGCGGCCACTGTGCCTCTGTGCTCTCTGTGCATCAGGCCCTGGAGAGATCTGTCCCTATCAAGCAGAGACCAATGGCTAGCAGGTCCCAGCTGCATTGGAAGGGAGAGGTCACAGAGTGTGTGGGGGCAGAGGCAGGGCCCCACCTGTTATGAAAGTGATAGATTTCCTCCATATTTCCAAACAGAACGTCCTTCTTGTTGTGCAGGCCAGTCGAAATGAGGTGCGTCATCAAAGGGTTCTCCATCTCAGCCGCGTAGCCCTGCGGGAGAGGGCAAAGCTCAGCATGAGCACCAGACCCGGAGACGCAGGTCAGGCAGGAGTGGACGGGTGAGCTGGTGGCGCATGGCTGTCTCTGAGCTGGGCCTCTGAACAAGGCCCTCAGCACAGAGTGGGTCACAAGCAGCACCCAATGTGGGCCTCCTCCTTCCTCTTTAGCCTTTTTATTCAAATTCAGACAAAGGGCACGGACCTCTCTGCACCTGCAAGACTAACTGTGCGTCTGCTGCCATGAACCTCCAGGTCACCACCTGGAGCGCTTGGCCCCAGCAGACCCCTCCCCAGGTGCCCCAGTCAACCTCTCACCCTAGACTGCCTGGTTCCAGAACTTCCCATAAGCAGAGCTGCATACTCTTTGGCCACCTCTTGCACTGTCACTAGCCTGTCACGTGTGCTGTGTGTATTAACGGCTCTGGGCTGCTGAAGCCTCCGTCCCGAGCAGATCTACTCCCTCAGCTCTGTCCTCCCCTTCTGTGGACGTGGAGGGCGTCCAGTCGGGCTGCTCTGAGCAGCGTGGCCTTGGGCATCTTATGTGCTTTTCCATGGACACAAACTTGCATTTCTAAGCAGCAGTTTCCAAGCGAAGCCACGGTGGGGGGGGAGTGGACCCTCCCAGTGCAGCACGAGCCTCACCTCCAGGACAGAAAGCAGCTCCTCCACGTAGGCCCGCTCGGTGTCCAGTAGCTCGTTCATCACGTGCCTGTGGGCGGGGCGTGAGGAGAGCACACACGTGAGGCCCGGGCAGCAGCAGTCCTGGGTCTCAAGTCAGGCTGGGAGGTAGGTAAGCCACCAGTCCAACGCAAAGGGCCTGCCCGGCCTGAGGGGCTGCAGGGGAGCTGAGCCCGCGGGACACCTCTGAGGGCTCCCTCGCTGCTCTGGCCTCACACCCCTTGCTGGCCATCTCTGTGCTGCCTTCCAAGAGCAATCCCCTGACCCACGTCCTGGCCCTGGGGGTTCCCTCTGCAGAAAACCAGCCCTGTCCTCACGCACACTGCCATCAACACCCCTCCCTCTCCCCCACTAGGGAGCCCCACCTCCCAGGGCCTCCAGGCTCCCTGCGTGGGCACCTCCTGTGCCCCCCGAGGGCTGGGCCTGGCTCTCCATCCCTTCTGTCACCCAGCCAGCTCCCCTCCTGCAGGTAGGCATGCAGTGGCCCTGTGGACTCCCTCTGTGCCTCAACTGAGGAGCCCCTGAGGGGGGTGGGCTTACAAATAAGACATTCAGGACCACGCCTCCCTGCTAGGGCGAATGACCTGCCCGCCACGTAGTCCACAGAAACCGGGGTCAACGGCCCCGGAATGCACTTAGGTGAGGTCCCCGCTGAGCAGCCGGCAGCACTGAAGGCCCCCGCTCTGCATGTGAACGTGGCGGCAGGGAGGGACCTGGGCCTCCCCACAGCCACAGCCTGGATGGTGCAGGTGTCGCTGATCTCCGGCCTGTGCTTCTGTGTCTGGAAGCCTCTTCCACGCCCCCTTCTCCCCTCTGCCTGTTAGCCTCTGCCAGAGGCAGCAGCGGCAGGTCTGTCCTCCACCCCTTCAGAGGGCTCTGCTGTGGGTGCTGGGGACATCCTGCTTGTCCCTGTGGCCCCAGGAGACTCTCCAGACTGACTTGGAGTCACAGTGATCTAAAGGAGCCAGGTCAAGGTCCCCTGGCAGGCTGCTCAGCGTAAACAGGGAGAGTGCAGACGTCCAGGGCACTGGTCAGCGGGCAGTCCCGCACACCGTCAGTTGGCTTCCTTCTAACTGCTGATGTGCCCACCAGGCCTGGACTGACCGTCCTGCACTGTGGGTTACGGCTTCCTTCCACTCAACCTCCTGTGCTCCGCTGCCTGGCTCTGGTCACCACCTGGAGTGCTTGGCCCCCCAGCCGTCCTCCCTTGAAGCTGAGTGGTCAAGACAGGGAGGTGCTTTTTGACTGCACCACAGTCCATGAACCTGGGACCTGGGTCCCTGGGGACAAAGGGCTCCAGGAGGTATGTCCAGGGCCGTGCTGCCCTCCGCAGTGCCCTGGCAGTGTGTGGCCACTAATGACAAAACCTCAGCCACAGACCCTCGCTGGCCACACCTACCTGCTCGCGCTGCCCTTGGGGCCATGGCTGCTGCAGGGACGTACTGGCCTTGTGCCCTGGTGAGGCTCCCCTTAGCTGGTGGCAAGTGGAGTGGTCATGGATGGCCGGGCACGGTCTCTCCCTGCCTCCACTCCTCCTCTCCCTCAAAACTGGGCCCCAGCGGTTTCCTTCTTTCTGTGGCCCCCGCAGGGTGGCCCAGGAGGCAGCACCTGGCCGACCCTGGCCGTCCAGGGGTATAAGGCACATGGCTCCCGATCCCTGACACTCCTGGGGCAGTGCTCGCCCCAGGCTCCCCCATGCCACACACAACCTCCTCAGAGGCCAGGTGGACGCCAGGTCAGGGGACTGAGCCTGGTGGGAACAGGAAGGGTGCTGGTGAAGGAAGTCCTGGCCGCTGAGCCTCGCTGCAGGTGGAGGGACGGTGGGTCCTGGTGGGGTGTGTCTGAGCTCAGAGTCTGGCCTGTGACGCACAAGCCCAGGGGCCTGCAGCCTCTGTGGGGGCAGGTGGGCGGCCAGCTCAGTGGAGGGTGAAATCCTCCGAAGTGACAGGTGGCCCGGTCAGGAGAAGCCAGTGGAGCTGTCCAAAGGCCATGCGGGATCTGTGTGTGCAGCCACAGCCACACGTGTGCCCCACTCTGCACGCTCCTGCTCCCTTCCCGCTCTGCTCTGCTCCGTCCTGCACTCACCACACCCAGACCTGGGGGCCGGAGGAGAGCTGGGACCCACCTGCGCAGGATGGCCAGGCCCTCCTCCTCGTCCCCTGTGGAGCTGCCCCGGCCCTGTCGGTTCCCACTCATTTCACTCTGAGGAGAGAAGAACAGCGAGTCGCTTTGAGAATCAGTAGGAGCACCTCAGGGACCCATGGCCAAAGCCAGGGCCCTGCCCAGCTCCCGTCTGGGCGTCGGAGGAGATGGAGCCCCACAGGCTGCAGAGCTGGAGGCCCAGCCAGGAGGGCTGGGGCCGGGCACAGGAGGAGCTGAGGCCCTTCCCTGGGAAGCCATGGCCTCGGGCATTGAGATGGGGCAGCCTCACCTTGGCCCTCCTGTAGGGCCCCCTCCGGAGCGCGCTGTCTTCAGAGCCAGAGTTCTCAGATCCCCGCCAGGAGCCTGGTTTGGAAGAGGTGGGGAAGGGGCGTTAGCTCTACTTGGGGAGGGGGACACCAGGAAAAGGCCCAGGGGAAGGACAGAAGCCACGAGGGGGGTGGACAGTGATAAACTGGCTGGGTGGAAAGAGGGGACAGGCCCCCTGACCAGCCTCCACAGCCCCTGGGACAGCGGCGCTTGCAGCTGAGGGGGAGCAGGGTGGGTGAGAGGAAGGAAGCTCGGGGTGTGGACACCCGGAGCCCCCAGCCCAGCAGGGCTCCACGGGCCAGGAACAGCCCCTCTGCCCACACCAGAGAGGTGGGCCTGGCGCTGGAGGCCTGGTAGGGGTTCCTGACTGGTGTGTGCAGACACCCGAGGCCAGGGCCGAGGTTCCCAGGACCACTCATCTCTTGGCATCCTCTGGGAAGACCCATCGAGGGGCCGGGAAAGTGCTTTTGATGCAGGGAAGAGGCGGGAAGGACCCTGAGAAGTGGCGTGGTGCCTGCCCTGGCCTGGAGAAGGGCTCTTTTGGGATTGGGACGCAGGGGTTGGCAGGCCATGGAGCCCTCCGGCTGGCACAGTCTGGGACACGGCTAGGTGGGGGAGAGACCCTCTAGTTCTCCTAGAACTCTGCACTGCTGTGGTCTCAGAGCAAAGTGGCTGAGTCCCCCTAAACCTGAGCCCAGCCAGACTGCGGATCCGACTGGAGGCCCCGCTGGGGAGGGGGAGCCACGAGGTGGCTGCACCTGGGGAGGGGCAGGGCGACTTGGTGAGCGCCTCCGGCCGGGGGGCCACAGGCTGCACGGGCCGGGTCTGCTTGGCCGCCAGCTTCTTCAGGCTCGCCTGCCTGCGGTGGAACATCTCGTGCATGCTCTCTTGCTTCTGGAAGACTTTCTGCACGTGATCCTGGGAGGACAGAGCTGCTAAGGGTCTGCAGTGCCGGCACCAGCCCCCAAGAACCCCCGTCCCATGGGAACGTGCCTCAGCGTGCAGAGACCCCTCTGTGTGTAAGATGGCGTGGCCACACCACACCGAGTCCTGATCACTGAGGACGCGCACCAGAAGCTCTACTGGGGACCTTCTCCAGAGCCGGCAGGGCCAGCAGTGGGAGGTGGAATAAATGTCTCTCGTGTTGCCCCAGAGGGTGGGGCTTGGGAGATTCAGGGGCTGCTTGTGCAGTGTCAGGAGGCCCTCGGGCAGGCTGGGGTCCAGAGGAAGCCACTTCATAAAGAGCACCCCCAGCGCAGGGGGCGTCTGGTGGGACGCAGGTGCCACTGTGCAGGTGGCAGGGGGTGACTTCTGCTCTGAACGCAAGGCAGAGCGGGGTGACCGCCGCCTCTGCTCTTCCCTCCTCACCCTGTCTGCTGGTCGAGAACTGAACGTTTCTTTCAAACATCCTGCGGACGACTCCCCACCCCGGGCGCCGAGGACAGGACAGGCTGCCTTACCAGCAGGTCTGGGGTGAGGATGGTCTCGTATTCCTTGTAAATTTTACTGAGCTCCTGGATCTTATTTTCCACGCCAGTCTCCAAAAACTTCTCAATCTCCTGAAGGGCAGCCTCGGCACCATCCTGAGACTGGCATTTGTCCACCGGCTGGGAGGCCAGCAGGTAGATGCCCTCGTCACACCACTTCATGGACTGCAAGCAGAGCGCTGCGGTCAGAGGTGCACCGTTCCCACCTACCACGTCCGCCCCCTCCTCCCTCGTCTGTCCACCGGTACACCTGCAGGAAGGTCCAGGCACTGACCCCTGATTCTTCTACCACTAAGTACAAAGGGCCGCTGCAGGGGTAGCGTGTTCTGCAGAGCCCGGTGGGTTCCCAGGACTGGACTCCCTCAGAGGAGGAAGGTGACTGGTGGAACTGACCAGGCTACCAAGTTTCCGGTCCTTTTAAGTAAATCATTGTTGTGCCAAGAGAATTGTGGGACCAGAACTCTGTGTGGACCTGACCCTCTAGGGGGACAAGGAGGAGGAACACAGAGAGGAAGGGCGAGGGGACTCTTCAGCCAGTGCCCGACCAGCCCAGCACAGGGGTCAGTGGTCCGGGGCGTGTGGCTTGACCCCCACCGTCTCCAGGAGGCTGTGCAGCTCTCGGGACTTGCTGAGAAGCCCCCGTCTCCTGCTGATCTCCGTGGCAAACTGGTGGCAGAGGTGCTGGAGCTCCTCGCACTTGGGGTGGATGGAGTCCACGGCATAGTGCTTGTTCTCGATGAGCTGCTGGCCCTGCAGGGCCAGGGCTCGGGCCCGCTCCACGGCCACCTGCGGGACACAGCCACCCAGGTCAACACCTAACCCTCAGTGCTGGTGCTGGCTGTGGGAGGGATGTCGTGCCGCTACAGGTGACTGAAGGCCACCTCACGCCCAAAGCTAGGCTGGGCTCCGGGGGGCAGGCATCGGAGACCTGGCCCAGAGGAGGCACAGGGTTCCGAGAATGGATTCAGAGGGACGTGTGTCGGGGTCCCTGAGGAGGCCGTGCCCCTGACGTGCAGGTGAGCACCATGGGGTCCCCGTACCCCTGCCGTGGTGCCCCCTGGGTGGCAGCACAGCCCAGGCCCTGGCCTCCTGCAGCTCAGGCACCTCCCCCACCCCACGCCCAGGCCTGGTTCTCACGCTGGACTTCTCTTCCAAGCTGGCCAGGCTTCTCAGCAGGTGCTCCACGTGGGCCAGGCTGTTGCCGACGTCAGTGAAGGTGGCTATCTTCTGGGACACCGTGTCCAGGGTGGCTTTGACCTGCAATGGAGGGGCTGTCTCAGAGCGCCCAGGAGCGGGGAGCCCGATCTGGGCACGCCAGGCTCGGAACAGTCTGCAGCCAGGGGCTGCGGGACCTTCTGGGTGGCCCTGCCCATGGCCCTGCCAGAGGGGCACCGGCTCCTCAGCTGATGCACGTGGGGCCCCTAGGGCCAGGCACGGTGGGTGTCCTCCTCGCCCCCACAGGTCTCGGCCTGCGCAGGAGAGCCTGTGGCTCACTTCCTTCCCGCCTGGCGTTGGCAGGAAGACGGCGGGCTGCGCACCCTGATGTGTGGAAGGCCTGCCCGCTTCTCCCCAGCGTCTCCCTTCAAACCCAGCTCTCAGGAGCTGGTCCTGAGACCCAGTGTGCAGAGGCCTCTGTGGCTGCGGAGTGACAGTTCAGACAGCCAGGGCTGAAGGCGGAGGGCAGGGCTCTGGCCCCGACACACCGCAGCGCTGGGGAGACGGCGGCCCTTGGTTCTTTAGCACCACCTCTGTGCCTGGCTCCTGGGAGCCACGCGGGAACCTGAGCCGCTTTGCCCCAGGGCTCTGCCTGTCCTCCACTGGCACTGGGCCCTGAAGACCCGGTGTCTAATGTCTTTACGGCCACGGGGTCTGCTCCTCCCCGGGCTCCACCGGAATGAAGCTCCGAGGCACAGGAATCCTCCTGCCTGGACCTGACCAGACCTGGCTCCTGGTGGGCCCCGGGGAAGGGCTGGTGGGCAGGTGCTGACCGATCCCCCAGCAGCGCCTCCCAGGCCCGGCTCCTGAGAAGGCCACGCGGGCAGCAGGGGAGGGAGAGCGGTGAGCACGCGCGGGTACGAGGCTTGCAGGTGAGCCTTCCCAGGGCTCCCAGCCAGAAGCAGACACCGAGACCACGTCGGGAGCACAGGAAGTGGTCGGAGTCCTGGCAGCTACAGGGTCCCCTCTCAGCCGAGGCTCCGGGGGGCCAGCACGTGGAGACGCATGAGGGCCACAGGCCTCCCTCCTGGCTCCCTGGGTATGTGCCCGAGCTCATCCTGTGCTGATGAGGGTCCAGCAACTCAGAGCAGTGGTTCAAGGTCACTGCACGGCAAGCAAGGGGCGACGGGGAGTGGGGGATGCGGCCCGGCCGGCCCACCTGTGTGCGTGTCGTGGGCGACGAGTGATGACGTGGCACGTGTGCAGTGAGACCACCGCTCAGCACCCAGAACAATGGCCACAGAGCTGTGGAGAGAAACCCCTGCAGACAGCTGAGCGGATTCTACACAAGGCTGCTGTGCAAGCAAAGCCCGGGGACAGAGCGCAGGCGTAGGCCAGACCAGGACACCTGGCCAGCACCCTCAGCCGGGCAGCAGGGGCTGGGAAACACAACCACTCGAGCCCACGCATGAGACTCTCACCTCAGCCACAGCAGAAGGGGCAGGAAGAAGCGTTAGGACGCGAACACGCCACCCGGCCCCAGGGGAGGCAGGAGGTGTGGGACATGGGAGGCAGAGCCGGGGCAGCTTGTGGCCGTGACACGGAAGCCCAAGTGTGGCGCACGGCAGAGCTGCACAGTGTGAGCAGAGGCTGTGGGGCCGCGAGCTGCGGGCTGCGAGGACCTCTGGACGGCTCACATCCACCAGACAGGGTGGCCGAACCCCGTCCCCCAGCCAGTGGGAGCCTGCAGATGTGCAGGGACGCTCCGCCCGACGCCAGGACACACCCCCCTCCAAGTGCCCGCCGGGACTCGAGTGGGGGTCTGTGTCCTGGGCCATAGGACACACCTCACCAAGAACCGGTTTTGCTCTCTGGTCACAGCAGCCATGCTGGACATCAGAGGAACCTCTCTGATCCTGTGGGAACGGAGCCCATAACACCAGCAAGTCACCCGAGGCTCCGAGAGCAAGTTCAGGGGAGATTTAAATGTGCACATCAGAAAAGAGGAATATTCTCAGATAAATAGTGTAAACTCTCACCTCACGAACCCAGAAAGAGAAAACTAAAATAAACTCAAAGCCATCAGGAGAAATGACTCATAAGGATAAGACAGGAAATCGATTAAACCCCAAACAGGGAGCAACAGAGAAACCGGTGAAGTAAAGACCTGGTCCCAGCAACACCGAGGGAGAGAATGTGACAACCAAGACCAGAGGCTAAACCAGCCACCGCAGGCCTGAGCCCAGGGGCCCAAGGAGGGTCAGGGAAGCTGGCAGCAGCAGCCCCAGACGATGGGACGGAGAGGACCAGTCCCAGGCAGGCTGCACATCCATCCAGGGTGAACTGGCAGAGACAGCAGGCTGTGAGGACAGCCGAGCAGCCCCCGAAGGTGTCTCCTGCTGTGGGAGGCTGTCCCGGAGCACTGCCCCCGACCGTGAAGGTGACCATCTGTGACTCTCCTCGGGACCACCTAAGACCAGGGGTCGTCCCAGTTCATCCTATGAAGTCGACGCTACCCTGACAGCACAACCAGAAAAAGACAATTGTAAGAAAGGGGGAAAAATAGAATAAAGAAAACTGTAGACTTCCAGGCATGGCGGTGAACCCCCGGAACCCCAGTTTGGGAGGCTGAGGCAGGAGGATGGCAAGTTCCAGGTTAGCCTCAGCAACTGAGTGAGACCCTATCTCAAAAAAAAGAAAAGAAAAGAAAAGAAAAGTGGTAGCGTGCAGTTCACTGTGGAGCCATTCCTAGCATGTGCAAGGCCCTGAGTTCGACCCACAGTACTTAAAAAAAAGAGAAAAAGAAAGAAAAAAAATCATAGAACAACTCCATCCTCATGAATATGGACGCAGAAATTCTTAACAAAATATTCTCAAATATACTCCAGCAATAACTAAGCAACACCGACAATGATTACACACCATGACCAAGTAGCTGTGTTTCAGAGATGCACAGCTGATCCAGAATTTGAAAATCAACCAATACAATCAGTCATATCAACAGGTTATAATATGAAGATCACATGATTATCTCAATCAATGGGGAAAAAGCATTTGATAAAATTAAGCATCCCTTTATGATTTTAAAGTCTCTCACAGAAGAGGACTAGAGGGTGCTTCCTCAACCTGACAGAGAGCACCCACAAACCCCGCAGGTGACACTACACCGGACAGTGGAGACCAGATGCTTTCCCTGGGCCTGGAGGCAAGGCCAGGACGTCCACTCCTGTCTCCCACCACTCTCATCCAATGGAGAAAAGCTCTGGTCAGCGTCACAGGGGAAGAGAAATAAAAAGTGTAAAGGTCAAGAGCAAGAAATCGAAGCATCCGTCTTTGCACAAACACGATCGAGACTCTAGGGCTCCCCAGAGAATGCTGGAGTAGGCGTCCAGTGGGGTCGCAGCGCACCCCCATCCCTACACCCAGCAGTGACCACGCGCACTGGAATGGAACGCACCACCCGACTGTGTGAGCATGCAGAACGTACACCGACTCAGACTCGAGACGTCCTGACCCAGGGTGCTGAGGACTGCACACCACTGAGGACAGACGTCAATCCAACCGGTGGTGAGGACAACCTGCGGGCAGCCTGGGAGGCTCGGAGACGTCGCCTCGCCCCCGAATGCAGGCCTAACACAATTCCCAGCAAAGCTTTTTGTAGAAATAGACAAGACTGTTTAAAAACCCGAATGGAAGGTAAAGAAGCTAGGCTGTCCAGCAAGCAGCGCAGAGCAACTGGACACCCAGGGGAGGACACGAGCCGTGCTCTGGTTCTCAAAACACAGACCCAGGACCTCAGCGGGGAAACACAGAATTCAGGAAACACAGCTTAGGGGGACACATTTGCAGTTGAAAACCAAAAGTGTGATCCATAAAAGGAAAGTCGGATGTCATCAAATTAAAACAATATAAAAGGTCCTACAAGGAAAACAGAGAACAAGGTCCCAGCTGGGGAACATGTGCGAACCGGGATCCGACCAGGCGCTAGGATCTGCGGGGCGCAGAGAACTCTCAAACCTGAGCAGGAGAAGAGGAACTCAAGCAAACCGTCCAGGCAGGGCATGGCCGTGGCTCTCGGGGACCCTCCACCAGGGGGCGCCGGAGGAAGCGCGCCCAGCAGAAGTTGCTCAAGTCGGCCGACCCCGCGCAGCCACCAGCGCCCACAGAACTGCCCACGTGAGGGGAAGGCTGGTGAGGACGTGGGCAGACTGGACTGCTCAGGCCACCGTGGAACCCGAGTGTCGTGGCGCCTCTGGAAACCACTGGACAAGTGGCCCTCTGAGCAGTCTCTACGGACTGTGTCCATACCGGCGCAAGGGTGTGGGTGTCCACAGCAGCAGAGCCCCAGGGGCACTCCAAGTCCAGCAGGTGGATGGCGAGGGCGCGTATGACCGTGGCAGACCCTCAGGATCAACAGGAAGAGTACACGCCCAACCTGGGCGACCCTCCAGAGGACGACACTGAGAAGCCAGTCCCCAGGGGCTCTCAGAGAGGCCACCGCGGTGGGAGAAGGGATGAGGCAGTGTGACTACAGGGGCAGGATCCTGTGTCCTGACAGCACAGCTGTCAGGGTCCTGGCTGCCCTGCCCTGCTGCAGGTGGTCACCACGGGAGCTGGGCAAAGGTCCAGGGGTCCCCTGGGCTGCTCCTGACAACGGCAGGCAGACCTGTACCTATCCTAAGAAACAGGGGGACAGAAGCACCTGCTGCTCCGGAAGCCTTCCTCGGGTCCCCGCAGAACGCAGCGCCCCAGGCTTCTTGGAGGTGTGCCGTGTGCAGACGCAGCCTGCAGCCTGGCCTCTCAGCCCCGCGGCCCTGCAGCCGCCCGCAGCTCACACTCACCTCGCGGAAGCCCTGCTCAAAGTGCCTGAGCTGCAGGCACTGTCCCAGTTTCTGCTGATGCTTTGCCCAGAACTCATCGAAGGCAGCTTCCGTCTCATCCAGCTGGGCCAGAAGCCTGGGGAGAGCAGAGGGGTGAGAGGCTCCAGGGAGACGTGGGGCGGCCTCACCTCCAAGGCCTGGCCTGGGCCCTTCACCCGGCCAGAGCGGAGGAGTGGGCTGCGACCGGCAGGCGTGGGCAGGGTGCAGCCAGGGCCTGCTGCCGCTGTCCTCGGCACCTGGGCACCCCGGCTCCCACACAGCTCTGGTAAGACCTGGTCACCTGGCCCTCCCCACGCCCACCTGCTGCTGTTCTCGGATGGCCTCCTCGACAGATGAGGACGCTAATTCCTCGGGAAGTCGAGGAGGTGTCCACCACAGAGCTGGCTGGACCTCCGGTGGGCCCTGCAGCAGCTCTAGGTGGGCGTCCTCCATGAGCCTCCCATGTCCCCAGCACAGCACGCCTACTCTGCATGTGACCAGGGCCAGGTGGGAGAAGACCATGCAGCAGAATCCAGGAGAACCTGCCTCCGTGCCAGGTGGGCCGTGGCCGTGGCACCGCTGGGTGAGGCTCCACACAGGAGCTCGGGCCCCTCCTCACATCGGGGGACGATACCCAAGCACTGGGAGGCCTCGTTGTGCCACTGTGGGGTGCACTGCCCTGCCCTGTCCCCAGGCTGAGACCCAGGAGGC